ATCTAGATATGTTTAGCAGCCACAACATAATCTGCTATGTATCTGATGCGCGTGAACTTTTGTGTTGCGGGATAGAAAATGACTCTTCAAGTAAATATTTGAGTGATGCAATTAGTTTTACTATAGTTTTTAACATTACAGAGAATTTGTAACACTACATGATGAACTTTGAATTTTAAAAAGGCATTTAGTGGTGTAGACGAAAGGAATACGAGATTCTTTATTTTCCTGGAAACAGTCTATTGTTTCATTCTTTGCCATATGAATATGAAGGACATCTATGTTTCACGCTCGGCTGAGCACAAAGCATGAATCTCTGCTTCCCACGACAAGGAAGTTACTTGCTTAAACATATCCACTGAAAAGAATTGTATTGATGGCCAAGGTCTTTTCTGATCCATTAGCATTCGATGGGCAGCTCCAGGCGAGTGCAGTCATCTTGTCATGAAATATCACAACTGGCCATATTTCCCGATACATATTTTCTTTCTAAACATATCCGTGAACTTAAAGAAAATAGTTTCAAAATAAATTCTGCCTGCTGTCATAAAATGATCCAGAACTTCTAGTGACCTTCGCATGGAAATGTCGATATTTATTGACTCAGTACAATACTCGAGTTTTGAAATATTCCAACAAATAAATAAACCCTAGCTGAGAGGACCGAAATTTCTTCGTCCTATTGTTGCTGAAAAGTATTCTCCAGATACCGTGAGTACACAGGGCAGATATTATCTGCCTCGATATCAAAGAGTCGTCAGCATGTTCAAAGAAAATATTTAATAAAACTAGCTAACTTTGCATTTGAAAAGAAGGGAGTTCAGTTACTCGCGAGGGATTAAAATAAAGAAGAGAGCAAACACCTCGTATAATCGTGAACTAGGATAGTGAGTTACAAGATTATGCATAAAGTTCTCCTCTCAAGGTCTTGCTCAAATATTTACTTGAAGAGTCTGAAACTTACAAACTAAAATGTGTTAAATTATATGAGATTTTATTATTATTGGCAGAAAAAAGTCCTCTTCTATGACATGGATTTCAGTATTCATCTTTTCTGTAATCAACTTTTTCTTAAAAACTCTCCAACGAGTACCTTACGATTTTCAGCTTTTTCAAAGAATATATAATCTGCAACTGAAACCCATTTTAACGTATTAATTGTTATGTCACTCGTTTGACGATGACACCCGCATTTTACTGAAACGTGACTATATACGATGACAAACGTATTTGTTCACTGAATGAGTGCTTCGTGTATCTGTGGTCACTAAGAATAATAGTGTCAAATATTTTAATAAAGAATAATGAAAGTAATAATGTATGATTAAAATGACAAACAAGGTCAGTACTTAAGTATAACAAGATAAATTCAGCCTCTTCGTACTTGCTTTCAAAATATTTTTAGCTCGGCAGACCGGTTAATGTTTTCTCTTATTTCGGGAACAGAAACAGTTCTTAAACATTTTTAGTCCCATTAAAGGATAAATGTATAAGGTATTTTCGCCCTCCTTTTCGCACGCCTTCGTGGTGTAACTGCGTTGTTCGGGAAGTCCGGAGTTCGAAACTCGGCCAGGGCATTGCATATTTTTCACGTTCCTGCATCGATATGGACGTAATTTATTCTGTGAATATCTACCATTTGCAATTGTGAATAATTAAGTATATATATATATATATAATATATATATATATTAAGCACTTAAGTTGAAAAGTATCCTAATCTCGAGAATATTATTCAATTATTTATGCACACCATCTCTATTCCAGTCGTTTGTGTGAATCAAAATGATTTTGCTATGGGCTAATAAGGTATCTTCTCCCTTCTTTCCAGCATGCCTTCATGGTGTAACGGTAGCACACGCGGCGCATATTCGAGAGGTTCAGATTCGAGTCCCGGAGAGGGCACTGCACATTTTTCACGTCTCTTGCTCTTTTTTTTTTTTTTTTTAACCAAACAAACAAACAAAAGAAAAAAAAAAGAAAGGAAAAAGAAAAAAAAAGAAACTCTGAAAAGTTTCAGATTTTAAATTACGTCTGTTCAGTAGTAATAAAGAGTTGCCGACAGGAGGCGCTGCTAGCGCGTTATACTCTCGACCTACGTAATTTGAATTGAGTATTCTCTTCTTTTGTGTACTTGCTGTAACAGATCTTACAGCTTTGTGATTGAGAATTTGAAATGTTTTGGAGCCAGATCGTTCCTCTACAGCAACAAAATAATTAATAAATATATAATAAAGTAAATATCTTTGTGATGATAATCTTTGTTATTAAATACAAAGTCAACCAGCTCCTGAGTACAGTTCAAGTGGTCCGTCGAGAATCGAAGGTGAGCTCTCCCATTTTAATCTCTATTAAATTTGAAGAGTATAACTGTTATAAATATGGAAGCTCTAAAAACTAGAAAAAGAGTGTTAAAAAGTTCACTGACGAGGCATAAAGATAAAGTTGTTTCGTCATTAGATGTTTCAGATTCAGTTGCGTTGCAGCTATTTGAAACCAAAACTAATGAAATTTCTAACGAACTTAAATCTGTATTTTATTCAATTTTCGAAACATGTAAACCCGAAGAATTGGATAACTTTATTAAGGATAAAGAAGATACAGATGATATTGTTGATGAGTTGCTATTGATGATTAAACGTAAATTAGCAGTAGTAAAAAATAAGATGAATTCTGAACATTCTGTTTCTCCTGTGCCGAGTAATAATAATTCAAATGTGTTTTCGGATGTTAAGTTACCGACGCTATCGGTACCGACATTCAATGGTAAAATAGAGAATTGGATAATGTTTAAAGATATGTTTAAAGATATGTTTAAAGCTAGTGTAATAGAAAACAAATCTATTTCGAGTAATGCAATGAGATTGCAATATTTAACAGCTAGTTGTAAGGACGAAGCTCTGAGAGTAATACAGTCTATTTCTATTTCGGATACAAATTTCGATATAGCTTGGAAACTTTTAGAAGATAGGTATTCGAATAAACGTGAGCTTTTAAATGCTATAATAAAAAAGCTTTTGAATCAGCCGAGTATTAGCGAGACATCTAGTTCTATTCTAAATTTAATTGATGTAACGAACGAAGTGTATTCGAACTTTAAAAATTTTTAAAACTACAAAGTAGAAAACTTATCGGAAATAATGATTGTATATTTTAATAGTGGATAAGTTTGATAAATCAACTCGATACTGGTGGGAAAAGGAATTAAAAAACTCGGAAGAATTTGGTACGATTGAACAATTACTTTCGTTTTTACAAAGCCAAGCGAGAACGCTTCAAAATAGTAAAATAAAGGAGGTAAAAAAGAGTAATAATTCTCCACATAAACTTACGAGTATGATATCCACTTCTAATACAAAAAACATAAATTTGAAATGCATAAAATGCCGTGAAGAATTCCATTCATTATATAAGTGTCCGGAATTTATACATCTTTCTGTCAATGACAGGTGTGAATTCGTGAAAAGAAATAAGCTTTGTTTTAATTGTTTGAAAAACCATTCCGTTCGAACGTGTTCGTCTAATTATCGATGTCAAAAATGTTCACGAAAGCATTCAACGCTATTACATTTCGAAAATGAAAAACAAAATAAATCCGAAAGTGCTCATATTTCAAAGCCGGAAGTAGGGGGGGGGAGAAGACGACAGTCAGTCTCAATCCGAATGCTGAAAAATTTGTTTATGACTCTTCTTCTACCAATAAAGAAAGTATTTTCGCCGGCACAGCTGTAAACGGAATGCGTCAGACCAAAAATGTTTTACTTTCTACTGCGAATATTTTAATCAGAGATTGTTATGGTGAATTAAAATCAGTTCGCGCTTTGTGTGATGTAGGTTCGATGACGTCATTCTTAACGATTGAATGTGCTAATTCGTTAGGGATTAAAAGAGAAAAAATATCTGTTGCGGTTTCTGGATTAAATAACACGAGAATAAATATTAATTCTAAAGTATGTGCTTCTATTTCAAACGGTATTGACTTTGAAATGAGTTTAGAATTTTTGTGCGTGCCTAAAATCTCGGACTCCATACCAATAAATAATATAGAAGTTCCGACTGAACATTTTCCTCAAAACATTAAGTTTGCTGATCCAAACTTTTATAAAAGAGGAAAAATTGATGCATTATTAGGCGCAGAGGTGTTTTATCAGATCTTAAAATTCGGTCAAGTTGAAGTGTACCCAATTCAGAGCTAAGATTTCAAAATTCTGTTTTTGGCTTTATAGCCACTGGCAGCATTTTAGGTTCAGAGACTGAAAATACGCGAGCAGTTCACTGTGGATTAATTAATAATTATAGTGATATAGAAAATGAAATTAAAAAATTTTGGCAACTTGAGTCTATAGGAATTAAAGATGATCCCAGTGAAAATGAGATAGATCAATCTTTAGAAACATTTGAAAAAACTGTTCGTTTTAAAGATAACCGGTATGAGGTTCAATTACCATGGAAAAGAGATTGGGGAGAGCTCAATAATAACTTCATCGTTGCAAAAAAGCGACTTAATTTACTTATGCGTAGACTTCAAAAAGATCCAAATCTTCATTTGCAGTATATTGAAACTTTAAAAGACTATGAAAATAAGAATATTATAGAGAAAGTTAGATGTCCTAAGGAACCTGTTGATAAACCTGTGTTCTATTTGCCACATCAACCAGTTTTTTTAGAGAGGAAAGTGCAACTACAAAAATGAGAATAGTATTTGATGCAAGTTCCAGTCATAACTTTAAGCATTTAAGTCTAAATGATTGCCTGTGGTCAGGGCCAAACCTGAATTCGAACATATTCGACATTCTTGTTAATTTCAGATTAAACAAAGTCGCCTTTACTTCAGACATAGAGAAAGCTTTCCTACAAATTTTATTAGCCGAAAAGGACAGAGATGCAGTTCGTTTTTCTGTGGGAAGAAAATGGTAAAATTCAAGTTTACAGATTTAATCGTGTTCTTTTTGGTGTTACGAGCAGTCCATTCCTTTTGACTGCTACTTTGAAAACTCACCATGAGAAAGCACTCTGAAGAATTCCCGACTACAACAGAATGCTTAGACCGCTGTTTGTATGTGGATGATTTTATTTCTGGAGCTGATAATGTGTCGGATGCTTTTGAGATCTCCACTCAAGCTACATCAATTATGAGCCAAGCTAGCATGGTGCTACGAAAATGGACTACGAATGACAATACATTGATGCAGTTTTGGACACGTGAAGGTTTCGATACACAGCCACAAGTCAACACTATTAAAGTTTTGGGACTGTCATGGAATCCTGCTGAAGATTGTCTAATATTGGGAAAGCAGAGCCTAGTGAACAGTCTGTCTAAAAACGAAAGTACCAAACGATTCCTACTACGTACAATTGGAAGGATTTTTGATCCGCTTGGGTTGCTTTCGCCGTTTACTATTCGTGCAAAGTTCATTCTACAAGTCTTATGGATGAAGAAAATTTCTTGGGATGAAGAAATACCTGTAGATCTACAAAAAATATGGCTTCAGTGGTGCTCTGAGGTTCCTGATCTTTCAGAGTTACGAGTTCCTAGAAACGTGCTCAATTTAAATATACAAGTGCCAACCGATATCTTAGAACTACACTGCTTCTGCGATGCTAGCCAAAAGGCTTACGGTGCTGCTATTTATGCAAGAGTTGTGAAAGATAATAACATCGAAGTGAATTTATTGGTTAGCACTAGTCGAGTGACACCACTAAGGAAAATCACTCTACCTAGACTAGAATTACTCGGTGCTTTGCTTGCCGCCCGACTAGCGAGTAAAGTCAAGAAAACAGTGGATTTAAAAAAGCCCTCCTTAGTGTTCTTTTGGACGGATTCAAAAATAACTCTCTATTGGATTAAAGGATCTACGAAACGATGGAAATCATTTGTTGCCAATAGAGTTAACGAAATACAGAGTTTAAGTGATACCAGTGCCTGGGCACACTGCCCTGGGAAGCAAAATCCAGCTGATCTCTTCAGCAGGAGGTCAGTGCTGACATTTTATTGAACAGTGACATTTGGTGGCATGGACCCCAATTTTTGAGAGAAAAGACTGATGTTCCGGTAGACAATAATGACATTTAATGACATTCTAATTTCAGTAGATGACTTTTCTGATGAACTAAAGAAAACTGATGACTCTAATGATCATTCTCCTATTGCCTTTACTGTTTTAAATTATAGTTCTATAGCTGATGATATTATTTCCTTGAGTAATAATTATTTAACTATTGTTCATGTTATGTGCTATGTATTTAGATTTATCAATAATGTTAGAAATGAAAAGCTTACAGGTCACCTTACATTTAGCGAGTTGAGAAGAGCGGAAATATTTATTTAGGTCAATCCAACAAGGTGAGTTTGTAGATGAAATAAAACATCTTGAGAGAGGTGCCTCAGTGCCCAGCAACAGCAAAGGTAAAATCTTTAAACTGTTTTTTAGATAAAGACAATGTTCTAAGGGTTGGACGCAGACTGAAACATTCTGACCTCAGTACATATGAGAAAAATCCAATTGTTCTTCCAGATAAGCATCCATGAACTTTAATAATTGTGCGATATTATCATTTAAAATATTTGCATGTTGGTTCAAATGCATTATTGTATCATGTTCGATGTAAATTTTGGGTTTTAAATGGCAGAAATGTTTGTCGTAAAGTTGTTTTTCAATGTGTAGGGTTTATATTTATTTTAACTAACATTTATTTTAAGTTTAAACTATCTTTCCTGTCAAGCCTTACTTTCCCCTGGAACTGCCAATGCCAGAATATGTAAATTTGAGTAGAACGCGCAAGGATTCAAATTATCAGCGGAAGTATTCTGATTTAAATAGAAGGAAACGAGTTCGGTGTGATATTCTTACTTAGCGAGCGCGGAGGTAGTTAGCGAGAATTGAAGAACCCCGCGTTGCGGCCTATGTGCTTGGCGGGAAGTAGTGGTAATCGTTCCAGTGAGCTTCAAGTCTGCTGAATTAGCAGCGGTATTGTAAAACGCGGTGAGTTAGTTATTTTAGAGAGCCTCGTAGTTAGAATCTTGTCTTTACTTTCTTTTCAAGTTATTATTTTTATTTGACTGCCAAGTTGGCACAGTCTGTGAGCGTCAAGAGCACGCAATTGTAATTTATTACGTTGAATAAAAAGGGACTTAAACCCTTCACAAGGCTCTATCTTTTATACAAGTTTTCACAGTCACCTCTTGGTTGCGTGCAAGTTGGAGGCGCGCAACGTTATATTGGCACCCGAACAATTATCGAACTGAAATGGCCGAAATTGGAAGGATTTGGATACCTGGTCCAGACTTTGAGAGCATCAATCAAGCCAAACGTCCATTTCGACGGAAAAAATTCGGTGGCGGTATTTCTCGAAGGTCTAGAAAACCACTTTCAGCTCTACCCTGTGCCTGAAAGACAAAAAGTTGCCATCGCCACATCAGCACTAAGAGGACAGGCCGCGCTATGGTGGAAAAATATAGGTAAATTTTTATTAGGGGAATTTGCAAGCCAGACATATACATTTGAAAATTTCAAAAAATCGTTAGTAAAGGCCTTCCCCATAGTGAAAGATCGCGCACGGCTGGAAGCCGAACTATATAGTTTCTACCAACGGGATACAGCAGAATTGACGGACTTTATTCTACGAAAAATCAAGCTAACGGATATGCTGTATGGAAAGAAACCCGATGCGGAGATTATTGAAATAATATTACCAAGATTGTTACCCGCTGTTCAAGACTACTTTGAAATTAGAAACCCAAGCACATTGCAGGAACTTTTCGAATTGGCGGTGAAGTCGCAGAATAGCGGAAAAAGCGAGAGGGGAAACATATTCTCAAAGTACCCGAAGGAAGGAGGAAACCAGAAATGGAAATCGCTCTTATGGGGGAAAGAACTATCAAGCTAACGCATCGAAACTCGAAGGTCAAGGCCCAAAATGAAAATTTGAAAATAAACATCCGCGTACCCAGAAGACACAGATTGAAAAGAAAGCTTTAAAAACAAGTAGGGGGGCCTGTGAAAGGGAGGGTCCAGACCCCGGAAATTTTAAAAAAAACCTCAAATAGACATTTAAACACGGTCATCGTAAAAACTCACAGCTACCACTTATACAAGTCCTGGTTGGCGATGTACCAGTAGAAGCCCTCATCGATACAGGAGCAGAAGGAAATTTTATGAGTGAAAAATTTCTTCAAAAAGAATTTTTATAGGGTACGATTATTTAAAACCAGAAATACGGAAATTATAGCGGCGCAAGGAAAAACATGTCACTGCATCGGGAAGTTATCATTAAACTTACAGGTAAAAGAGGAAAATCTCAAAGTATTAATTTTTGTGGTGAAAGACCTGCAACACTCTCTTATTTTAGGTATGGACTTTTTAAGCGACGCGAGGGCCAAATTAAATTTTCAAGATAGTTCCGTGGTGTTGGAGATGGACCAGAGGGTGGTGGAACCTGTGGAGACACCTGAATTGGACCTTAGCCATCTGAATGACCATGAAAGTAAAGCAATACAGCAAGTGGTGAGTAATTTTTCTCATTTGTTTTCAGAAAAACCAGGAAACTGCCAAATAATAACTCACAAGATTCAATTAAATGCCGAAAAACCTTGTAGGACTAAACCGTATCGTTATGATAAACAAAAAGACCTAATCATCGAAGAACATATTCAGGAGATTGTTAAAGAATAAAATAATAACGCCCATAAATAGTGAGTACGCGAGTCCAGTCGTACTATGTAGGAAAAAGAACGACTAAAAGAACGACTTTCCTCCTTCGCAGATAAAAGGGCTTGGAGGTTTGCTATTCGATTACAGAAAACTAAATAGTATTACCAAATTTCCAGTTTACCCTTTGCCGGTGATATAGACGAAGATTCATTAGAACAGATCAAATCGACAAGATATATGTCTACTTTGGACTTAACGTCTGGCTACTATCAAATAGCTATGAGACCCGAAGATATACATAAAACCGCGTTTATAACAAAATCGGGCACTTATGCATTTTTACGCATGCCCTTTGGGTTGTGTGGGGCCCCATCAACATTCCAGAGAGCTATGGACATTGTTCTAAAGCCTGTCCTAGGAAAATCAATTTTAATTTATCTAGATGATATAATTATAACGAGTAGTACGTTGGAACAACACATTAATGACCTCGAACAAGTTTTTAAATTATTAAAAGAGGCCGGTCTTACAATTAACGCCTCAAAATGCAAGTTCGCAACTAAAGAACTTAAATATCTCGGTTATAAAATTTCGCAAAAGGGTATAGAAACGCAAGATTCAAAAATAAAAGCTATTAAGAATTTCCCACCGCCCAACACCGCCAAGAAACTTTCATCCTTCCTTGGGTTATGTTCTTACTATCGATCTTTCATAAAAGATTTCGCTAATATTGTTGAACCACTCTTAGTAATCAAAAGAAAAAGGGCTAAATTTACGTGGACAGCGGAAGCTAACACAGCTTTTGAAAGATTAAAAGAAGCGCTTATTAATGCCCCTTTTTAAAATTCCCTGAGGGGGACGAAAACCTGGAAATTGCAGCAGATGCGTCAGACTATGCGGTGGGTGCGGTTCTTATGCAAAATAACCATCCGCTGGCATTTTTTAGTAAAACATTGAATCAGACACAAAGGAATTATACAGCTACAGAAAGAGAAACATTAGCCGTATTAATGGCTGTACACAAATTTCGAGTTTATTTCGGCAAATCGCCAGTAACAGTCTTTTCGGATCATGCGGCTGTTTGGTAGACTTTACTCGGGAAAAAACCTAACGCCCAGGTTAATAAGATGGGCTTTAAAACTCCAAAGAATATAATATCACAATAAAATATAAACCGGGTAAGGAAAACAATGTAGCTGACGCACTTTCTCGTATAAAACTGGACGATGAAGGAAATGAACTTAAATGCGCTGTGTTGACTTCAAAAATTTTAGATTCTAGAGATACTGTTATTGGATAGAGATACGGTTACTGAACTGAAAGCTGATCCTGAATTTGGAAATATCTATGCTTATTTGAAAGACCCCGAAAGCTTTGAGCATACAGATATCGATGCGATAAGAAATAGAGCAAAAAACTATGAAATAATAGATAATTTATTATTCTATACGAAAACAACAAACGAAAATCTTGAGTATAAGCCAGTCATCCCAGCCTCGCTTAGATTAAGCATTTTGAAGGAGTTGCACGAAAAAGAAACAGCGGGCCACCTAGGGGTCAGAAAGACTTTAAAAAGGGTACGCGAGGCGGTATATTTCCCGCAATTATACAAAATAGTAACGGCGTATGTCAGGTCCTGCAATCAATGTCAGTTAATAAATGATATTAATTACTGCCCGGCCGGGTATTTAAATAGCATTCGCGCTACATTTCCGAATGAAATTTTAGGCATAGATCTCCTTGGTCCCTTCCCCCAGAGCGAGTTAAATAAAAATCGTTTTCTTTTAGTAATAGTAGATCATTTTTCAAAATGGATAGAAATTGTTCCACTTAAACGCGCGTCAGCCAAAACAGTCGCAGATCATTCTTACACAGATACATTTTAAAATACGGTGCACCGATAAAAGTCATTAGCGATAACGGAAAACAATTCATTAGTCAAATATTTGAAAACATATGCAATGGACTTGGCATACGCCATATCAAAATGGTTCCGTATAGACCACAGGCTAACATAGCAGAAAGAGTTAATAAAAACATAGTAAAAATAATTCGCAGTTACGTGAGCACACATCACAAGCGCTGGGATGGCTACATAAATGAATTAGCTTATGCTTTAAGAACGGCACATCATGATACTACGGGAAAAACTCCAGCAGAATTATTCTTAGGCCGAAAATTAATTACGCCTTTAGATAAATTATTCTTTGTGCAACAAAGAGAGCAGGAGTTTAAACAAAAAGCTGTGCAAAAGTTGATTGATCAGGCGCTTAAAACCTCGGATACGGCAAGAAATAGGCAGAAAACTATATTACGATAGAAAACGCCGTGAAGCAGATTTTAAA